CTCTTGTCCATTTAGGTGGACATTCCTATCTTAATAGGTTGGCGTTTCTGCCATAAATTTTCAGATGACAGATTTAAACAGAGCTTGCAGATACTTAAGGCTGTGGATTAGGTCTGTCATTGTTAATACGTTAACTCATGCGACTAATCTAAAAAGTTTAACGCATTAATTTGACATAATGCAGATTAATCGTTTTACCTATTTGACCTGAAAGCCTCTCTCCCACAGAGGGTTACTTAGTTCAAAGCAGTGCATTAAGCAGTCTTGTGCTGCGTTCAGAACAGTCACAAACGCAGCTGAAAATATGAGTGAGGAGCGTCAGACGACGTGTTCAATGGAAAATTTAGCTTAAAAATCACCGCAGTTAGAATGGGATCTCTGTAGACATCGGCTGTAGACCTCAATGCAGCCGTTCCAAGTTCAAATCCTGTTCTCAGATCTTTTCTCTCTGCCCCTTTCCTGTCAGATTACTGTCAAATAAAGGGCACTAGATCCAAAAAAATTGTTACACACACAAAAAACACAGCAACGGTGATTGGGTAAAACCAAGCTAGTACAGCCTACTTATTGCAGTGATGAATTATTTTTCCACGGAAGCACAGCCAGTTTCTATTTAACATTTCTAAACTATGTTTGAAACAAAATGCTGACTTTTAAACCTTCTTTAAAACCCATAAAAGTGAGAAAAGCCTGCCGACAATGTCGAGTACATTTTCTCAAACATTGTTTAGAAAGTTTGCATTTTTACATTTCAAGTTTACTAAATTAAGCTAGGTGATTAATTGTTATTAATCAAGGCATTGAGTGTGATTAATCAGACTGATCTTTTTAATCAATTGATGGCACTAATTGGACGTTAATTTATAAACTAACTCTGCTTAAAATCTCTTTACGTCTTTCTCTATGTGGCTCCTGTAAATCTTCACTACTGATTTTAAATAAGAGGACTATTGTCTTATTTAGACAACTTTCAGAGAGCTTTGCATTGAGAGGAAACTGCTGTATTATAATCTATCCAAGCCATTATCTTTCACCCAATAACCCAGTTTAGTGATGCTCAGCGCTCGCTGCAATTAACTCGAAGCAACAGGGTTTCCGCTAATGCATCGCATTTCGCTACTCACTGTGTCAGTGAAACAAACTGCATCCCCGAGGGCTGCTTCTGCAAAATGATAGCATGCTAGCTGGAGTTGAAGGGGGCATGTTAGGGCCTGACGCCCCACCACCCTTCAGTTCTCCTACCACAAGCAGAGCAGACATCTCAGCACAAGGCTGATTGCCCCACTGTGACTAAATCTAATCAGAGGCTGCATGACTCGTGCATAACTCATTGCAGGGCCAATCGATGCTTATTTTGCTTTTTTTTTTTTTTGCGTGGATTATTGATATCTTCTATAGAATCCAAGTTTTTTTTTTCCCCTTTGAGTAGCTGACTCTCCACCAAGCAAGGCCAAAGTGGCTCTGTTTAATGCAGCGAGAACAGGAGTGAGGACGTGGGAAGATGTACATCTCACATCTAATTTCTTTCCCCACTTGTACAGTATGTTAAAGAAGTCTCAGTCTCTGTGTGTGTGTCGAAGAGGTTGTGTGTGTTTTATCAGTGTGTTTGTGTATGCTCCAAGGCAGTTGGTTTCTTTAGCGTTCCTGTTTGGTCTCCAGTGATTCAGTCTCACAGATAGATTTGTGCTCTGCCTCTCTGATCACTGATGTTTGCATAACTAATAGAAATGTGGGGATGTCTTGCTTTTTCATCTTAAAATTTTAGACTCTGCACAGGTTTTTTTTTTAGCTGCACTTGTATGAGGTCAGTTTAAAAAGTGAAAGTCATTCGCAATACAGACTCAGAATAGAATCCAAATATTTATGTCTGATGATTGCAGCTAATGAAAACCTCAAATTCATTTTCTTAGAAAATGTGAAGTTTGTAAAATAGCAATAAAATTGGATTTTTAACAGAAATGTGATGTTATGACCATGTCGGACTTTCTTTTGCTTAGATGGGGAAAACTATTGCCTCAGCAGTCTGTAGACACTCAGGCACCATTCACAAACGAGCATCAAACCTGCACAAAGAAGCTGGCTGTATCCAAGCTAACTAGTGGAAAGTTTAGTGGAAGGAAATGTCAGGGGAGATTGAAAAGGTGTTGATTGCAGCTGGATTCTTTGTTTTATGAGTCGTCATATACAAACCTATCAAATGGATACTATCATTATGTGAGAAAATACGTATATTTGTTTTATTTACTGTGAACCATTAACATCTAAATGAGTTTTGGTTGCTGAATTAAACTCTGGCAAAATTTTTTTTTTAGATAAACCTAAAGTTAACTTATTTTATTTTTACAGCAGAGTTGTTCCATAAATTTCCACATCTCCAAAAGCCACACATATATGGACATGTGCTACTGTTTAGCTTCATGTTTAGAAAGAATCACCTAATCACTCAACAATTTATTTTCCCACGATTGTATCCTGTCATGTGCATAATGTATGCAGCGGCAATATTACAAGTGCAATAATCACACATTCCTCAGGCAAACGGGGCACCCTGTTCTGTCCTATCGCATGCAAATTTAATACGGTTTTATTGGCGGACAAGATGAGTGTTATTCCTCCGAATGAATCAGACATGCAGGGTTTATGTTCGTTTTCATTACTAGGCTTGAGACTCCCTCCCTGTAAGCACAGAGTTGTTGATTCCTCAGATGGTGATAAGGGCTGGTGATGGTTGCTGTGTCACATAGGCCGAGACTGCAGGTCGACCAGGTTTGAGATGCAGAAAGTAAAGCGTTCAAATCGACAAATCAGTTTAAAAATTCAGCCATTATGAGCAGAAATGTCACATTTATTTTAAGCTTTCAAAAGGGCTTTTTTTTCCTTGGCGTGATGATTACACAACATATAACTTTGATGACTTTTCATCAAATTTCAACCTACGTAATGCAATTAGGGTCAAAGGTACGCATAATCATTCCAACACTACTGACATTAGGTTACATTTCTCCAGTTAAGTTGTTTTTTATACAATTTCTGCAACCACCAATAAGTCAAACATCTGAATGGATATCTGGCCCCTCATTTAAACTGGTTGGTTTGCTACCAATGACCTACCTTTTAAAGGGGAAGTATTAAGTATTTTCCATGCACATAGTGCCAATTTATACCACAGACAAATAACTGTTGCCTTCAGTTATTATAAAACTCCAGGGTATACCAAATATGACTTAAAAGAAATTTGACTTTGGGCCTCTCTGTGTTTAAGAAACTCCTGCTACAGTCTCTGAAAAGCAAGACTGACTGACGAGAATTATGCCAGAAGATTGCTGATGCGTTTATCAAAGTGTGCGGTTTACATAATTAGAGATTCATCTCAAAAAGTAAATTTAAACTGAAGCCTCCTAAATTACACATGCTATATGTAAAGTAACTGTTATTTCAAAGTAAGTGAGCAGAACTACCATCCAAATGAAACAGAGGAAATGCTGCTTCTTGTGAGCCATCAAGTTGTTAATGTATTTTCATTTGTGTGTGCTAGTTCTAGTCAAAGCTGCAACATCCATCTCTCTATTGAGACTTTTTTTCTCTCTCTCTCTCATGATGACAAAGCCGCTTCCCCGTCCCCTCATTGCTGTAAAGCACCATAAGTCGAAAGAGTCATCCAAAAGACTTAGTGCCATTGCTGACAAAGCCTCTTGTTCATGCTTACACAAATTCTCATTGTAGTGCGACATTATTTCTGGGGCCTGTTCCTGCTGCAACAGGAAGATGTGAAAAATCCAGACTGCAATTATATTCTAGCTTAATTACTTCCATTTACCAAGGTATTAATTCAGATCTCTCTCCTCAAGCCCCTGCTGATTCTAACCTGACAGATTGTTGCGCACAGCTTCTGCACATAAGCCTACCTGGATTATTAACTGTTCAGGTCTTAAACTGTGGCAATACGATGAAATACAATCAATGAATTAAATGTAGACAAAATAATTTAGCATGTTGAGTTGAAATTTGAGACGGACGGGAATGGAAATTTTGTGCATGTGCTACAAAAAATCAACTGCTTGTTTATTCATGTATGCTAGTTTCTTATCCAGCACAGATAGTTCAAACCCTTCAGTAACAAAAAATTAAAACAGTCAAGAGTATTTATTTGTCTAAAATGCACAGTTTATCTAGTTGGACATAAGTTGGGTTTATTACCACATTGGGAACAACAAAAGCTGAATTTTCTACAACCTATTGTAAGCAACGGTTTTCAAAAGATTTGTGGAAAACTGACATATGGTATTTGTTTTCTGCTGGAATTTATTTGATAATCATGTAATGTGCTTATTTTTTATTTTATCAAAGTACCTGAACCCGCACAAAATTGTACATTTTATTCACGTTGATTACATAATGTTCCCAAATTAAATCAGATTAAAGTGTTCCATTCAAGTACGCTGTACTAAAGTAGACATTTTACTAGTTTTTTTACTCTTGAGGAATTGTTTTAATGACAACTTTTTACTTCTTAAGTAAAAGTACACCGAGGTATTACTAAGCTTACTTGAGTACATTGTTTGGCTCCTGTATCCATCTCTCCTTGATGGTCTAAATGCTAAACACAGAGTTATAACTTGCTAAACTGGGAGTGAGATTCATTCAACTCAGGACTTATTCATATTTTATTAAAGACTGTTAGTAGATTAGAACAAACACAGCAAATTGCATATTTATATTATGTGCAGATTATGATTTTATAGCTTTTGTAATGTTTTTATATTCATACAAACTGATCCATTGTATTTTCATTCAAGAAATGTTTTAATTAAACATTAAAAGTCATTTCCCTCTGCAGGCCAAAGTTACCAATAATGAATTTGCTATTAAACTGTTTTTGCCTGGTTAAATAAAGGTCATATATAATTAGTTCTAACCTATTCTGCATTTATTTATCCTGTAAGAACATTGAAGTTCATAAGATTAGAAGATTATTACCGCATCTTCATTTTTGAAGAAGCAACAATGACGTAGGCAAGCCCGTTCAAACTTTATTGCAGGAAGTGGGCGATCCAGCTGTTGCTAAATATCTAGAACTAACCAGCAGGAGTCATGCGACCACTATTTCTAAGAAAAGGTAGCGGTAAAAAAAAAAAAAAAAAAAAAAGCTGAGAAAATCCAAAGCGGAAGTAAAGGAAGAAGTGGGGCAGGAAAACCGCTTCGTAGAGAACTCTGAGAAGTTTGCATCCACATCTGAGCTGCGTGATGTGAACGGGGGGGGTGGCGGAACTTTTATTCCTCGAGTTAGAAAGTTTGGAAAAGCCGGTGCCGTTACTGTGGGGAACGATGGGACTCCCGGCGCTGGAGTTCAGTGACTCTTTTCTGGACAGCCCGGACTTCAGGGAGCGCCTCAAATACCATGAAATAGAGCTGGAGCGAACCAATAAATTCATCAAGGAGCTCATCAAGGATGGAAATATGCTGATCACTGCCCTCAAGAGTAAGTTGTCCTACACGACATGATTTATTTTCCCTTTGTTTTCTTGAATCCAGAAATAAAGGTGTAACTACCTGAGCCACAGGCGCCTCGCAATCAGGGATGCATTCATTACAGCGAAGCCTGACTGGTCGCTCTCTGAAAAAGCTGCGGTCTCCCATTGAAAACAGTAATATTACCACTAAAGAGCTAAGATCAACACAAAACCCGCAAATAATTCATTATGCCAACGTTGTTTGATTCTGACTCTGTCTCCTTTGCATGTGTAAGCTGGATGTTTTTAGATCCTAAAATAAACCCCAGATTCAGAACGGAGTTACTGGTGAGATCAATTAATTTACTTTGCACGTATTTCCAGACAGAAGGCCATGGTCGGATATGGTTAGCACCGAGACAGACTTTTTGTTACATCAGTTTAATAACGGCCTACTTCTCTTTTCAGGGGTCACCCATCAGAGGTGGAGAAATTGCAAGCTTTAATCTGTGCATAAGCCGAAACTGTGAGGATGCTGTCACTTTCTATCACGGGTCATTGTCCTCTCTCTCTCTCTCCCTCCCTCTCTCTCTCTCTTTCTCTCCAAGCACAGTCCAGAACTCCATCCTACTAATGAGACTGGACTTCCTGTTCTGATGTACACACGTGGGAATCGCTGTCTAGTTTCCTAATATCAGACATGAGTCTGTAAAAGGAGAAGGATTTGAAATGTGGACGGCCTTTAAATATGGAAAACATCCACGTTGGAACTGAATATGTGGGGCACGGATAGGCATTCCCATACCGATAACTTTTTTTTCCATTTCTTTGCAAGTTAACTATCATATTTTAATCCAGAAAAAAATTATATATATGCTTTTACACTGTTTTATGAAGTGTATGACGTCCTCATGTAGCACAATAGCCCCACAACATGATGCTGTCACTCCCATTCTTCACAGTTAGGGTGTGACAAGCATCCCTGTTTTTATTCCAAATGTAGTATTTGTGATAAAAGCCAAACAGTTCCACTTTAGTTTCATCCGTATGTTCAAAACGAAGGTCTTTGCTGCCGCAATCTGGCTTTTTATGTTTCTTTTGAAGTAAAGTCGTCTTCCTTGCCGAGTGGTCTTTCAGTAAATATCTAATTTTAAAGACAGTAAATAAATCTAACATATTATTTTTCTCATTTAGCAATTTTTGTGTGTATATATATATATATATATATATATATATATATATATATATATATATATATATATATATATATATATATATAGTTTGATAAATTCTGACAAAACAAAAGAAATTTGGTCTGTTTTGATGTCACAGTCAAAAATAAAGATGTACTTGAGTTTTAGTCGGTGTGTGTACATATCTGATTTCAACTTTAGTAACTTCTGTAGGGAGTTGGAAAAGTTAGATTTGAGCAAAAACAACTTTGCTGTGAGCTTTACATTCTTTTGAATATTTCAGTATGTTTTTATCGTATGCAAATAGTTCAATGATTACACCTTTTGAAGTATATGTTATAACTGCTGCTAGAGTTTTATGTAAATCTTCAAACACAATGTTGGCCAGATGGATCTTTTGATGGAATTCAAAACATTCATTTTCCAAATGTATAATTTCAGTCTGTATAATCTGGTTGTGAGTTTGTTGTCCTCCGAGCATAATTTTGGTCCTTGGTGTTTTCAGTAAATAGAGATTATTGGAACAGTCAAAGGGAGAAGATTAAACCAATTTTTTGGTGTAGCCCAGACATTGCTTATGTTTGCACATAAACATGTAAAAGAAAAATAAATCTGTTTCAACAGCTGTAAATACTCCAGAGTGGAACCTGCTATGGAAAATGTAGTACTTAGTTTGCAGCATGTTGATGATGGCAGGTGAGGCTGTCGGCTTATTAATCACATTGTGTTTGCCTCATTGCTTCTTGTCTTTAAGGTATTACCAATATAACAAAAAAGGTAAACATCTGTCATGACTTTTTTTTTAGTTGTGTTTAGGTTGACTTTCCTGATTAGAACATTGTTTAGCTTATGGCTTAGTTTTAGGGCTGATATGTCATTAATTTGTCCTATTACTCATTTGTTTGTCAATTCACCTCTTCTCCATTCCTTAGCCCCTCTTCATAAATGTACTGTTGGTTTTCTTGTGTTACTTCCTCCATTCAGCTGCCGTCATCTTTGCTTTTACCGCCTATGTTTGCTTGCTTTGTTGCTTCAGGGTTTCGGAGTATGAAATCTTTATCGTCCATTGTCCATTATCCACTTACCCTTGTATAGTCACAGCGGAGCTGGTTCCTATTTTCAGAGATCATTTGGAAAGATGTGCATCTTGGTCACCTACTCATTAATTATTTTCAGTTAATTATTAAACATTAAAGTTGGCGTACATTCTGTCTACCTACTGTTACTGTGAAATACAAATTGGATAAATGTTCCGACTTTATCTTTCCAATGTCATGCCAGGGAACTGTTCAATCAATTGTTGACAAAATCTTATAAAGAAGATTTCAGCACATGTGTCAAAAGCAGCAGCTCAGAAAAAATGTTGCCCAAAGCTGTCTGATAACGCAGCGCCACATGAGCAGAGCTTACACAGTGCTATCATTTTGGATCCATCAGCAAAGTTATTACCACCTTTATTTTTTTTAATGTTGGTCATTTGTCATTTAGGGTGTCTCATTTTTTCAGCATCATTTGCAACTAATGAACAGGAAATTAACACTTGTGCATTTAATCAGCAGAAAAGGTGAATTCTCCTGCAGCCTCTTGAAAACTTGCGTGAAAATTCGGCTGAATGTTGCCTAAGTAGAAACTCTTTGAAAATGGCTAACCAGTGAGAGCGGGCGATAAGATGGTATTAGATTGGGAAGGATTAGAACATGTTGAAGAACCGCCAAAGCAAAGAGATTGTGATGCTGTTTGTATAGAAGATTCAGTCCGTCGCCTTTTAATTCTCTTATGCTGATGCATCAGCTTTATTTTCCTCCCTATGCTTTAGCAACATAAGCTCGATCGTACAGAGCAGGAGAGCACTTTGTATGTTGGTGGTGTACAACTTTTAAATTTAACTTCAGTTTTTGAGTTAAGCTGCAGAACTTGCTGGAAAATTTGCACAGATTGGTGAAAATCTATGTTCCTTGGCATGAATACGTCTTTAATGGGAACATTGTGATCAGATGTGATTTACATTTTTAAAAATGTGAGATATTTCTGCCATAACTCTCATATCAGCTGACATTTCACAATATCATATTTTAAGTTTTCACAAAAATGCTCTTCTGATTGCTGCGGGTGATTTACTTACAGGACAGTCAATAGTAGACTTCAGAAATAGCAAATGGAAATTTGCAATTAATACAAAATATTTGTGAATACAATACAGAGACATATATATAATCAGTGTGTAAATAAAGCAACAAAAGAAAAGAAACAGCTGTTCTTTTGTTTATGACACCATGTCTATGATTATATAAAAAAATTCTAACAAAATGCTGATATATAGGTGATAACATCAACAACATCAGCATTAACGACATGCCAAATTTAAAAAAAAGAGCACTGTGATCATGGCTGTTTAAGTAATTAATGTCTATTGATTGTCTGGAAACACTGGCAGATAACTTTTCAGTAATGGAAAAAAAAATCTGAAACCTCACCTATGCAGTCCACATTTCCAGTTAATTAAAGATGCATCTTTATCCATTTTCTGCACGTTTCTGCCTGAACCAAATGAAAATATGTTAACTGTAATGAGGAAAATCAGGCTGTATTTCTTTTTTTTTTTTTTTTTTTGAAACCTGAAACATTTATTTACATCTCTATAGATTTTAGCAAGTCGATCACATTGCCCAGCAATCTTATTGGTTATATTTATGGCAACAGATCCATTTGTTTTACTCTCTCAACCTTTCCTGTTTTTCCTATCTCTGTTGCATATAGCTGTGTGCTTAGGATTTGCATTTTCTGCGTGTCCTCTTGATGACTATTCCCAGATGTATATTGATATTTTCGTCACTGCCATATTGTATGACTGCAGTATTATAAGCTTGTCCCTAGTGTAAACAGAGCAAATGTGTAGTTGCTTGGCAACTGCGTTGGTCTACGATGGCTGAAGTAATAACATTGTTGAAAATAAAATGGAAAACCAACCGAAGGGATGGCAGCGTTTGAAAAAGCCACCAGCGATTATCTAAACATTAGTTTAAAATGAAGTTGGGAAAAGTTGAAGAAAGAAAAAAAAGAATTTTGATTCTATTTAGATTTTTTTTAAATAGTCTTCAAAGAAGCATGTTTTGCTAAATAGTGAGGATAATAATAATATAGTGGAATGTTACTCACCCGCCTAAGGGCCACATCCTGAAAGGCTCTGATCTTTTCTTATCAGTGCAGGAAGTAAAAGATATTATGATGTGAGAGAATGAGAAACTAAATGCTGATTTTCAACAGGAAGTCTGTGTACTTGGTGTACTTGGAAAACAGGAGTTATTGAATCATTCTTGCCAGAGACTATTTGTTTCAGACAACTTTTTACAAATGTTCTCAGTAGCAATTCTTGAGAACATTTGCAGCAACTTAAAAACCTCTTTGCCACTATTTAAAATCTTGAGCTCAAGCTGCCGAGGGTCCACAAGATTCAGTTAAAAGTTCACATCTTTATATTTCATAAATGTGCAAAACATGCAAGTAAATGAGTAAAGCTACAAAGAAAGACAATTTTCTATTGTGTAATTATCTAATATTGTGAAGCCCCAATACTAGGTTTATTTTGACTGCCACACTGCACAACATACAAAAGAAAATAAAAATAAAAAGTAGCTGCAGTCTAGTTTACCTTCTGGAGCTTTTAACCATTTGGGTCATCACGTCTTACTTCTGTGTGAATGATTTTGTATTTCCCAGGGAAGTATAGGGCCAATCCTATTTTATATCTGTCTAGCAGAGAAGCAGTTCAGGCAGTGAGCATTGCAGCTCTGCTGGACACCAATATCCTCCTAAATGTTTTATTAATGGGTGTGAGG